CCGCACTGCAGTAAACGCCAGGACCGCCTCCTACAACGCGGGTCTCGCCACTGGCGATATGAGCGCCTACAAAGCGGCCTCATACGGCGTGCGGCGCGCGGTGAGAGATGCCAAACGCCGGTACCGGGAACGTGTGGAGTCCCGCTTCCACCAGGGCGACACACGGAGTATGTGGCACGGACTACGCACCATTACGGACTACAAAGCCAGGGACACTGCGCCGATCAACGCCGACTCTGCATTCACCAACGAGCTGAATCGGTTCTACGCCCGTTTCGAGGTTAGCCAGGCGGCTAATGCTATCTACCGCCTGACTACCGAGGACAGTGACGTCATCAGCGAGAGACCGGTGACCAGCATCGCGGAGCATGACGTCCGAGCGGCACTGAGGAGAGTGAACACAAGGAAAGCGGCGGGGCCAGACGGCATCACCGGCCGTCTGCTGCGCTGCTGTGCTGACCAGCTAGCAGGTGTGTTCACTTACATCTTCAACGAGTCCCTGGCGAAGTCTGTGGTCCCCACATGCTTCAAAAGATCCACCATCATCCCTGTGCCCAAGAACAGCAAACCCTCATCCCTGAACGATTACCGGCCAGTTGCACTGACCTCGGTAGTAATGAAGGTGTTTGAGAGGCTGCTGAAGAACATCATCTCCTCCTCCATCCCAGACACCACAGATCCGCTGCAGTTCGCCTACAGATCCAACAGATCCACAGAGGATGCCATCGCCCACGTCCTACACACCACTCTCAGCCACGTGGACAAGAAACAGGGTAACTATGTGCGAATGCTGTTTGTTGATTACAGTTCAGCGTTTAACACAATAGTGCCCTGCAGACTGTTCACAAAGCTGAGGGATCTGGGACTTAACAGCCGTCTGTGTGCATGGGTGTTGGACTTCCTCACTGGCAGAACTCAGGTGGTGAGGGTGGGCAGGTGCTTCTCCAACAGCATCACCATCAACACAGGAGCACCTCAGGGATGTGTCCTCTCGCCACTGCTCTACTCCCTCTACACTTCAGACTGTGTGGCCACCCATGGCTCCAACACCATTGTGAAGTTTGCTGACGACACAGTGGTGTTGGGTGCCATCTCCAACAACGATGAGGCGGCCTACATGGATGAAGTGAAGAATCTGGCATCGTGGTGCCAGGACAACCACCTCCAGCTGAACGTCAGCAAGACCAAGGAGCTGGTGGTGGACTTCAGAAGGGTCAGCACAGAGACTACAAGCCCATTATCATCAATGGAGCTCCAGTGGAGAGGGTGCAGTCCTTCAAGTATCTTGGTGTCCACATCTCCTCAGACCTGACATGGGCTGCCCACATTCAGGTCCAGACCAAAAAGGCTAGGCAGCGCCTGTATCACCTACGACAACTGAGGAAGTTCAGGGTCTCTCCAAAGATCCTCAGGATTTTCTATACAGGCGCTGTGGAGAGCATCCTCACACAGAACATGACATCGTGGTTTGGGAACAGCTGTGTGAAGGACCAAAAAGCTCTCCAGAGAGTGATCCGTACAGCAGAACGCTGCTGCAGGATTGCTCTCCCCCCGCTTCAGGACACCTACACCAGGAGATGCCGGACTAGAGCAGCGCAGATACTGAAGGACCCGTCCCATCCTGGCAACAAACTGTTCCAACTTCTGCAATCTGGTAGAAGGTTCCGCATCTTCCGGGCAAGGACAGAGAGACTCAAGAGGAGCTTCTATCCCCAAGCCATCCGTGCCCTAAACACACACACCCGCCCTCTCACATCATCTATAATTGACTGAGACAGGACTCTTCCAGACACTAAACCAAGGCACAATGTACATTTCAATTCCTTTAATTTTAAATATGTTTATATTGTCTATCCTGTAAAATAGTCAGATGTCTATTCATATTAATGTACAGAATTCACCTGCTTGCTGCTACTACTGCACATTCACCCAGTGTATATACTATATGTGTGTGTGTGTATATATATATATATATATATATATATATATATATATATACACACATATATATACATATATATATATACATATATATATATACATATATATATATACATACAATATGTAATATACTATATATATATATTATATATATATATATATAATAATGTTCTTCCTCTACACCCCCCCCCCCCCCCAATTTTTGCACATGTCGAGGAGCGTGTCAGGCTACATTTCACTGTGTGTTATACTTGTATAACTATGCATGTGACAAATAAAGAACCTTGAACCTTGTCCAATTGTCCAAAGGTTAAGTGGTGATTCTGAGCTGCCTGTGGATGCCGGGTTGTAATGCACTGTATGAATACTTGGATAAAAGGTGCTATAAAATGCCAGTCCGTTTCCACTTTCGATTTCACCATGTGCTTAAAATGCATGCAGAAATGTATTTAGATTAGTTTATTTATCATATTTGTAAATGATTTATTTTCCTGATCAGTGACTTCTCTGCACTCCAGCTCTCTCTCCTCATGAAAAGCTAAGCGTGGGTGATGGGATTGATCACCTGTTACAGCACTGACAGCAGGCTGTGTCCCACGGCCATAGCACGGCCCGAGGGCTGCGTGTCCCACATATTACACAACATTACGGCCCAGTGCTGAGAGAAAGGATCCTTCATATTCATTCAAGTGTGCTGCAGAAAATAGGTTTTTAGAACATGTGACGTCACGTGCGTCGATCAGGTTTGATTTTTTTCCGAAGATCGTGTGTTGAGAAGATGGATTTTCACGTGTGATTCAAAGGTTAGTGTTGATACAGCAGAAGCAAAGGCGTAGATCATGTTAGGCATGTGCTTAGCGAGTTTCCTCCACATGTTTTAAACATTCTGCAGTTTCAAAATGCAACACATCCGTGTTTTCAGCTATTTTATTTTTAATAATAGGCTACCGTATTCATCTTAACTGAGATCTAAAGCGGAAAATTTGAAGGAAATGTAACATTTTTTAGGCTAATTTCAGCCATTATATCAACAACTTCTACATTTGGAATATAAACAGTTTGTCAGACTTTCTGGGAAATAAAAATGTCCCGAAATCAGACTCTTTCCAACCTGCCTGTCTGCAGTGCACATACCAGAGGAGAAGATGCACACCACTATATTTAAAAAAACAAACAAACAAAAACAACAACAAAAAACATATTTTGGAAGTAAAAAAAAGATCAGTTGTTGAGCAAAGTGGCACTACCTGATTTTGTTATAGTATTTTTTCTTAATATGTCAAAATATGTGTAGTTATTACAGAGGAAGTGTCAATTAACCTGTAGAGCTGAAGTCAGAAACACTGCAGGCCTGGTGGCCAGAATCAGCCCGTCAAAGACCCCAGTCTGGCCCACTGGACAGCTTCAGAAAATGTGAGCTTTTAACTGGTTTACAGCTTTTCCCATTGATAAACACCTCTCCCATTCCAGTTTATATCACACAAAAATAATTAACTAAGAGATAAATGACAGAAAAATTCCTGTTTTTCTGTTTTTAGCTACTACTTTTTTTATTTTTCTTGTACAGCGAGTCCCCAGTTATAAGAAAAACATTTTAAAAATGACATTTTCTGTGAATTAATGAAAACATTATATTTATGATTACAGGATAGTCTGGCCAATGAATTGTCCCACATAGGATCAAAGTCAGCTGTATGTGGCCTACGATGTAAAATAAATTTCACATCCCTCCTCTAACACTCGTGACTGGCTCAAAAAGTGAGTCTGTCCCCCCCAAAACGTCCATGTAACACAAGCAGTACATTTAAAAAAGCATGTTTACAGTATGGCATGACCGTTTTTGCACTGTTGTCACCCTTTAGAGCACAGGTATCGAAATCCAGGCCTCAGGGGCCGCTGTCTCGCTTGTTTTCCAACTAACCTGCCTTTGTAGCTTTTTGGCAAAGCACACCTGATCCAGGTAATCAGCAGAAGGTATGGCAGAGATAACTCAAAAACAAGCAGGATGCTGGCCCTCGAGGACTGGAGTTTGACACCCCCGTTTTAGAGCATCGAACTGTTTAACTGCAAGATGTTTGTGCTTCAGTGTTGGTGAGTGAAAGTATAGTAATTAGAAGATAAGTGTGTATTTGTGATACATACATAGTCTTTGGAAACATTTTTGCTGTTTAGCTGATAACTTAGAAATTTATTGAATGTCGTCAGTTCAGTCAGGCAAAAACAGAAACAAAGTGGCAGCTCAAGTTCGCTGTTATGTTTCATAGGTCAATAATTGACATGTACTCCACGAAAAACTATTCACAAGTGGGTCTGTGACTCTAAAACAGTCACATAACATGGAAAGTACAGTACATTTGCCTGGCTAAATGGGTGCATAGTGGGACATCTTTTTCTTCTTCATTTTCCTTCATTTTGTATGTATATATATATATGTATGCTATATATATATATATATATATATATATATATATATATATATCATTCATTTCTAATCTATATTAATTCCAATTATTTATATATATATATACTATGTATTATATATATTACATACATATAATTAGTAGCATACTATTATATCGATACGAATGTATATATATATATATATTATGTATATATATATATATATATGTGTATATATATATATATGTATATATATATATGTATATGTATGTATATAGTGTATATATATATATATGTATATATATATGTATTATGTATGTATATATGTATGTATATATATATATATATATAAGATAAATATCTGGCTACATACATTTTATATAGTATGATATTTATATATATACATAGCATATTATATATTATATATATACATACATATATAATATATATATATATTATATATACATGATATATATATTTATATATATTATATATATATTATATATATTATATTATATATAATTTATATATATTTATATATATATATATATATAATACATATATATATATATATATAGCAACTGTGCTGCATTTACTGAATTTAAAAAAGCCGAAACAAACAAAAAGCAGTACTTTGAGATTATTTTGAAAAGCCCGACAGGAACCATCGACGCTTATTCCGGCGAACACAACCAGGCTCACCTGCTGCAGCAGAGCTGGAGGACAGCGAGTGGGTGAGCGTCTCTGAGGTGCTTGCGGAGGACCAGCGTGACCGAAGGGCTCATCTCTCAGTATCACACACGTTTCCACGATGAATGGTCTGAGTGTCGCCACAGCGGTCCAACACTTCTGGAGGAGACGGTGTCTGGAGTCGTGCGCTAGCACGGCTTTTTAAAGCCTACCAGCCACCATATTTTCAGGGGCGACGGACCCCATCAGGAAGCACCGACACTTCCAGCTCACCTTGCCCGGCGATGGAGGTCCGCCGTTAGAGGCTTGGGAGCTAGGGAGGGTCGAGGGGGAGGGGGGGGTCGGCCGCAGTTTCGGCAAAATTACGACGGGAATCAGGTACAGCTCCCTGTCTCCCGGCAACGGGAGAGACCAGCGGGCGCTCGTGATGTCTCGTGCCAAGGAGCGACTGAAAGGCGGGAAGGAGACCAAGGACAGCGTCACCCTGCTGCCCTGCTTCTATTTCGTAGAGGTGAACATCAGTCCGTCTATTACGATGTAAATGCTCTCAGCGATGGGTCTGTGCTGCTCTGGTGGGGACGGTGGAGGGAGGGAGGGGGCAGCTGGTGCAGGTGCTCCTCGCAGATGCTCGTCACTGTCCTGGGAGCCAAACACACTCACAGAGAAATCACCTGTTAAATTGTTGTGGATACACACTGAGGATGCTTTTTGCTCTAGGTTGGCCAGGCAGGCTGTAATGGTATAGCAGTGATGTTTACCTGATGTTTCAGAGGCCAGTGACTCTGCATCCTGTTACGATTCCCTTTGCATACAGCAGATTTGTTGGGGACAAAGATTTGAGATCAAACATCGTCAGTGTGCAGATATCGTTCATGGCTCACAGTCGATCAGAGCCAGCAGACAGAAAGGAGTGAGGAGAGTCCAGATTTAACACTGCACTACTGCAGCTTACTTTCATTGTGCTTTGAATAATCAGGATTAGCACATTAGCAGCCACAGGTTCGGGCTTTAGTCTGTTCCCGACAGATCAGTGCGAGGCTTGGACTTGCACAGTCATTTCTCTCCTCTTCTGGGCTAAATCCTACTGCCATCATGCTGCATTTCGTTTATACGCCCACAGACTGTGAAGCAGCCTTCTTCCCGTAGGCTCCACAATCTGCAGCGTTCTTCTAGCAGCATTAAAAAGAAGACATCTCTGTTTTTAATAATAATAGCAGTAATATTGGTTTTGGCCCATTAAGGCTGCCTTTGTTTTGATCTGTATTTCTAGTACTGACTGCAGAACATGATAATAATATTTCATCTGTTGCTTTATACTGTCAGGTTAGTGCGTGCAAAGATGATTTGTTAGTCTAACTTTACACTGAATTAAACATCAGCCTAACTTCTGCCTGCTTGTCACCATATCTAAGGTGTTTACGTCTTAAATCTGCGCCAGCAGTGCTTTTGTTCCCCAGTCACAATTGTGCTGCACCAGGAAAATGACATTTTCCTCAAGATTTGGACGACAATGTGAATATGTTGGGTGTAGACTGGGCTGTGTTGCTGCTCAGACTCTACGTACACACCAGCAATGGAGTTTAGTAGGAAGTAAAGATTTTACTTTACTTAGACATGCAACCTACTGAGACTGTAAACACCTAAGAAACCATCTGACTGTACACAATAAGATGCTTTCCATGATGAATCAGCATCTGATGGGCTGAGGTGCAGTCCAAACCCTGACAGAGCCTGTACTGTGTTCTAAGGATGCTGTTGACACTGACTGTTGTGCCTTGCTCCTGACGTCCTCTGCACATACTGATGGTTTGACCCAACGTTTAGCATTCCTCTCTCTGTAAGATCCCTCCCTGCTGATTGTCAGGCCAGTTCTCGTGTCTTTTCTCTCCGTTTCTCTTTGTAAAGGCTGGCTTGTTCCAGGTGCATCTCTCAGGTCAAGATGTAGGTCTTTGCTGGATTTTTCCCTCATTTCTTAATGTTGTGAATTTTGGATACCGTTCATCTCCTGTCGACAGATTGCCACTTGTGCTTTTTTCCTTCACCTTTTTAAGGACACTGTGCACACCATATGGCAATATGTCAAGTTTTCAGACATCAGGGAAGGTTAAACACCGAGCAGAACCAGCATGCTGTTGGTGCAGAAATATTCCACCAGCAATGTCGGTCAAATTGTGTTTTCTCGTGTGTTTTTTGAGACATGCCTGCAAATAACAGACAACCAAATATAAATGATCTTTGTTATTTGCAGGCACAACACTGGTTCATCCTGTGAATTTGGTGCATGGTGTTTATGCATGAATAATAGTTATGTCAGTTACATGACTTAACAAACAAAAATCATTGCTCTGAAAATGTTCAGGTACAAGGACTGGACTGAAAATGAACGACAAAGTGACAAATGTCCCAAGAGAATTTTTGACAAACCTTCTGCAAACTGCTGCTGAAGATCGCTGATGTATTTGACCACACAGCGTCATATATGAGTAGAATTATTTCTTAAAATCTGCAGTAGCCAAACATAAAGAACCTGAAATAAATAAAAGCACAGAAAAGGCCAAACATACTTCATCGTGTCAGCTGATTTCCTGTTTTCACATTTCTTCTCACTGCTGCTAATTTCGCCAATTTGTTGCTAGATTTAGACATTTTTCAAGTTCCCTTTAGCAGAAATCTGGTGACAGGATCCTACTGCTTCACAACGATGATGAATGTGAAAAACAAGGTTTCAGACAGTGACAGAGAGCAGCAGTGTGAAAGGAGACAGTAAGAGCTTTTCTGCTGCTTGTGAATTTCTATCTGAGTGATCTACTTTTAACTAGCTGAAATGTCAACGTTGTCTTGAACTCACGTTAATGGTGATTTTGCTGTGTTTATCAAATTAGACGTGTCATTGTTCGCCACCCCAACCCTCCACTTGCTGGGGGAAGCTTTGATTATTTGTTGCTGATTACTCCGAAACCCCCAAAGGTCAAAAAATCAGTCTTCAGGACAACCCAGGAGTGTACACGCTGTCCTGTTGTGTACTGCGCAAAGGCGTTTGCCACTGGAAGTAAAATCTCAGTTTGTTTTTTCTAATTACTGACTGATTAATTAATGACAAGTAGACAAAGAGCCAAGAAAAGAACATGTGTGAGTCTGTAAAAGCATTTCTGTGAGTTTGATTAATGATGCTGTTCAGAAAACCTCTGACTCTGCCATCACCTCCTGTAGGCCACTTGTTCTTGTACCACAGGTTGTAACATGACGTGGCACAGACTAAGACCTTTTGGCAGTACCAGCGGCATGTGGAGTATATGCATGTGCACGTATGTGTGCAAGCATTAGCAGACAACCCTATTTCCTCCTTAAATGTTAACGTCTGGCTCCGAACACACCAAAACAACCACATGGCAGGCACCAATGTGTCGTCCAAACCAGTGGGGCATGTTCCTTAGAGTGTGTGGCAGAAACAGGAGTCCAGAGAAAGGATGGGAGGTAAAACCACGCCTGGCTGCTTGGTCAATAGTCTGACAGCACAGCGAGTCTTTGAACGCTCTAATTTTCTCTTCATGGTCCCTTCACTTACTGTCATGTTTGAAGTTGGACGTTGGATACGTGGATATTTCTGGCCCTGAGACATAATCGTTCCAGTGGTCAGGCCCAGCTAAATCTAAAGTAGAGCTGGGCGATAGAACGATAACGATATGTATCGCAATATAACTTTTACTCGATAGAGAAATTAAACTATCGCGATAGACCTCGCCGCTCTTGTCCTCTTAAAAAAAAAAAAAAAAAAACAGCCAATCCAAATTAAGTAGCGCAGAGCCGAACCAATCACAGCCGCAGCGTCACGTCGCGTGACTTGTTACGTACAGCACAAGTGCCAAGCCGCACGTGTGTTTGTTTGGGAAGCAGCCAGCGGGTAATGGAGGAAATGAGTGTGCCGACTAGAAAAATCAACCGAGCGTGACCGAAGAGAAAACAGATGATGGTTCCAATGCCGGAGAGATTGTCGAACGGAAGAGCCATAGAAGTTCCGTAGTGTGAAGGTATTTCGGCTATTTCAAGTCTGACAAAAAACAGAGTAGCGTGCACTGTAAATTGTGCCGAAAGCAAGTCTGGAAATACAATAAACTGGTGCATGCGTCACACTGTGCGCCACGTTATTGTTTCGGTGAAATGAATTTCTACAATACTGTTACTGTTAATTCTACTCTCTGCAGTGTTTAAATGCTTACATATACACACAGTTACTGTCCTCCACACATACGACTCGGTTCTGCTTCTATGCCCCAGCTTTGTTTACTTTTTCCCACCGAGGCTTCTAGACTTCTGATTGGCCAACATTTCTGCACGGTTAGGAATCTAGCGCCACCTGCTGCTTTGGCATGTTCATAGCAGCGTTTTCCTTCATTTCTGCCTTTATGTGTGGACGGGATTATTTTTTAAAACGAAAACGGAAAATCTCCAGTTTTCAAAAATACCCGTGTACGTGTGGACGTAGCCTCAGTCTCTGACTGGAAGCGCTAATTCGTCATTCGGCTTTTGTCAGACTAAAGTAACTGTTAATGTTAAAAGCTAAGCTATACAACAAGGAGAGATTGAGAATTTCCTTTTAGTTCTCAGTTTATTTGATATTGACAAAAGTTAGTCGTTTGTCTGTTCTTCTGTAAAACAAACTAAGATTTATTTTTAGAATTAATATTTTGTTTCTAAGTGGAATTGACAGTTTAGTCTGTTTCGTTTGTTCTATTTTGAAACTTAAACGCTTTAGCGGCTGCCTTTTGTGTAGTTTGCAATATTTGCCTTTATTTATCTGAAAAGTCTCGTGTTCCTTAAGTACATCTACCCTGTTGAACTTATTATGGGAAATAAATATTTAAAAACAAGCTGCTGATTATTTCACATTTTACTTGTGAGCAACGGCACATTTAAATCTTACAAATATAGTTATTTGGCTTATATCGTGATATATAGCGTTATCGCCTGAAAAAAACATATCGTGATATGAAAAAATCTTATATCGCCCAGCTCTAATCTAAAGGCATTAGTGAGAAGGCATGCCAGGACAATTCTGACAGTGCATCGCACAAAACAACCTCTACACAATTCTCTATATTCACTCACACACCCAGCTTTTAGGCCTGTTGATATTTTTCTGCTCTATGATGCACAGTAACACAGGTGATCCATGCCATCTACCGACCTGCGGCAAATTCCCGAGCCAGTCTTTCCAAAATGTTGTATTTTCAGCTAAAATGTGTGAATTTCATATGAATGTGTAATGAAGAGGAAGCCTGCTTGCATGTAGGGTTTGCTGATTCTGTGCTATACATAAAATATTGCCGTGCGATGCTAACCGTGAGGAGCGTGCACGATTACGTTTCAGCTCATTGTTTGCCCCTGGCACAGAGTTTAGGTTGAAAACATTCTCTGTCAATCACAGTTTCTCTTTCTTTCCGTGACAGAGTTGCTCTGTGTCTGGTACATTGCCTATCTCACACACTGTCACACCATCCTACCCACTAACTG